TTCCATTTTCAAAAGAGTTTTTGAAGTTTCCTCTCTAAATTGAAGCACACAGTCCAAGCCCTCCCTTGAGGACACATATGGTCACTCCTGAATATTTAGTGGGTACATTAAGGGCACAGAAATCTCTCTCTGCTTTCAAGCAGCATTACAGGCACAGCATGACAGCTCTAAAATGAAGGGAACCACCTGTCTCCACTCAGAGCCTTATGCAGACAGACAGACAGGTATCACAGTGCCAGGCAATTTCCTTCTTTGAGAAAATAAAACTGAGTAGCATTGAAAGATTTAGCAGCAATTGCACAAACAGCAGGTAGATGGGTCCTTCAGGCATGACACTGCCTGAACACTGGAGGGTGGAGGTGGGTCAGACCACAGCATGGCTGGACAACTGCAGGGTATGACAGCAGCTCGTGGGTTTTTTTACAATTGCTTGTAGCATGATCCAAGTATCAGCTTATTTTTGGTGGTTTCGACTGGAGAAGGGGAAGAAAACAAGGTTCCAAACTACTGAAAACTACATGAAAAACTGTATTAAAAAAGGGGTGAAGCACCTTATGCTAAGAAGGCTCTTCAGATCAGCAGCAGCTCTGGTCTTCACTTGAGAATTAAATGTCTTATACTATGGATATATATAGAAAACTTTTTAGAGCTTACCTGTAATGAACACCATCCTTGCTCCATCTGTCCAAGAGCAGCAGGAGCAGAGTCATGACTATATTCAGACCCTTCCAATCCGGATGCTTGAAACAGAAGGGGAGAAGAGGAGTCCAGGTCTGCACAGGCAGGCAGGAGGAACACATCCTGCCAAGCTCAGCATTTTGGGTCAGGAAATGCTCCATCACAGCTGACATTTGGTACAAAAATGGAGAACACACTAATGTGCATGTTCACTGACAATCCCAAACCAGGATGAATCTTCTCTGTATCCTCCAGGAAGTTTAAGTGGGCAAAGTCTGTCATGGGGAAAGAACCAAGCACCCTGCTTAGAATTCTAATTTATTATTAAATTACATATCAAAGCTTTTTTTTTTTTTTTTAAATACATACAGAGAATGCACAATTGGTGAGAACAAAAATAATTACAGGTACAATAAAGGAAGTGTCAAGAAGTTCTATGAAAAGCAAAACATCAGAAAGTGCAATCAGTAACTCATTTACAAGGGTCTGGACTGGGGTATTTTGTGAGAAAGAGTTTTAATTTTTTGTCTTGAGTGTTTATTTCAACTGCTTTCCTCACTCAGCAGCAGAGAGACCAACAACCATTTCTGTATTCAGACCTGGAAGCATCACCACTGGTTTCAATTACCCAGTCACCAGGAGAGACACAGGGCACCAACTTGCAGATGTCACCTAGAACGTAGCTCAGTTTGGTCTCAGAATGAGACCACTGAACTCCCCTGTCCCCAAATGGTTCTGCAGAGCCACAGCTCTGCAGGCTTCCATCATCTGATGCTGTTACAAGGAGTTTCAGAATTGTTTCCTCCTTCACAAGTGATACAGCTGCTCCCTCTCCTTCCTGTTTCAAACAAAAACTTGGGGGGCCAAGTAAAAATAGGAAAAAGATTACACATCAAGTGGTGTTGGGAAACAAGCTGCAAGGTCGAGAGTGAAAATAGTCCCAACTAAATGAGTTACTCAATCAGAAGTGGGGGGACCTGACTTTGCTCCCTGAGTAGCACTTTTGGGGGAGCTTCATGAACACAGCTCCTCAGAGGAGGCAGCTCCAGAGAACAAGTTGCCAACAAATTTATCTGAAACATCACCTAAAAATCTACTTTTGCTCTTTTGTTTTCAACATCCAGCAAGGAACTGACTCTTCTCACAGCACTCTTGAGGCAGTCCCAAAGAAAGGACTTGTAAAACTACTCATGAAAAATTCTAGTTGGTTTTTCAGTGCAATGAATCCAGCAGGAATTTAAACCCCACTTTGATGTCTAAAAGCTCCCCAAACCAATATTAGTTAATAAAAAGTGTTGTGCCTTCCCAAGAAAGGCAACTCTCAGACTACCAGAAGCACCAAGCCCTGCTTGGTGCCACAGCCATGGAGGAGAGCAGAGCCCTGTCTCCATCCAGGCTCAGGGCTGGGGAGATCATGGCTCTGCCACACAAACACTCATTATTGACTGAACACTCCATGCTGGGTGGTGCCCAAGGGCCATTCCTCTGCTCTAGCAACCAGTGCTGGAAAGTCAGATCAACATGTAAAAAAATAGCCTACAAAGAATAAAAATACTCATGTCCATGTGAAGAGGGGCATTGAAGGGTATTGCTACCATCCCTCGTGTTCCAACCCCGAGCCAAGGGGTTGCTGGACAGGTTTAAAATAGGTGCTGGTGGATTGGCAACAATCAAGGAGAAATATTTTAAAAGGGTGTGTGGGAAAAGGTGCCCTGCAGAAATATGATGGATTTCTCACTTCATTTGTATGGCTTAGCAATCATTTTCTTAGCATAATTCTGTTTGGTTGGGTTATGAAACTGCAGCCTGGCCAGGAACTGCAGAAATGAGAATTCTTTAACCACTATTTTTTCCTTAGAGCAAGAGAAACCACACAGAAATAAAACCTTAAGATATTTAGCAGCAGGAGACACATAAACCTGTATGTTAGGGTTTGAGATTAAATCCTACAATCCCCTGCTGGGTCCATTTACAGTCCTTTGCCCTGACTACAGGTCCGTGTCACTGGGGATGTGCAGGAGAACCAGGAATTCTCTGCACACACCTCAGAGAGTAGAGCAGCAGTTCTGCTCACACTGCCAGAGGACCACAAGGAGATGATGAAGGGGAACCTGCAAGGTTGATTAAATGTATTTTTCAACAAAAAAAACCCCAAATAAAAACCACGGAGGGGTTGCCAACACCAAAATAATTTCCAGTAAAGCTTTATCAGAGATAATTCAGCACATTTCCATTGCTTTATACTAAAATATATCAGTTCCTCCATAATATTTTCATAACATGAAAAATCAATTATGTTTACAGATTTATTATCATCTACATGTTTTTCATAGCAGCTTTGTCACACAATAAGATTAAACAGATGCACCAAGTAATCGATTAAGTCCAGTAAAAAGACTTGTTATAAGATTAAATAAATGAATTTATTTATGGTACTGCAGCTCTTATATTGCCAACTATATAGCAACCAAATCCTACAAATCCTACACAGAAGCACAACTGCTGATCTGGGTCCCTTAGGGTGGTGGTGGAATCAAAGAAAAAGCATCAGGGAGAAGAGGTTTGATCTCTCAACACACAGGATTCAGTAACAAACCTCCATCACAGTTTTCCACAAACCCCTTTAATAAACACTCCATTTCAAACCAGCAACATTCCCAAATCAACCAAATCATCCCCCTTTATTTCAAATGCAAGCCTGACAGTTTTACATGTACTAATAATTTCAAATGCTCTCTAATCCCAACAAGAAGATGACTGATTAGAAGCCTTGGTCGACCTCTTGGCACAAAGTTATTAGTCTGCAAATGAGCCTTCAAATTCCTACAAACATTTTAGGTGCAAGAGTGTGGTTTTTGCACAGTACACAGGCACAAGTCTCTACTCCCTCCAACAGGTACTTCACAGACACTATAAAAAGCAGTAAAAAATTGTGTTCATCCCTCTAGGCTCAGCTCCAGAGGAGACACTGGAGACTGTCTGACATTTGTGGGTACTGGCATATGTGAGATCTGTTAGGAGCACTGCAAATTCATTGTGAAAAGAGTTAATCAAGTTCTTAGAAAGGGATTTCAGTGCCTCAGTTTGAATGAGTTATGATATGACAGATGGAAAAGAGCTGTTGAAAGAGCAGAAAAATTTGTAATCAGTGAACCTGCAACACCAAAGCCATTCCTGACCTCAGCTTTGTTTAGAGACACAAACACATCAGGATTCATGTTGCATGTCTGGACAAAAAAGAAAACAACTATTTCCCTCCCCCAGATAATAGTAAATAATACATTCAACTCTTTACAACGAGGAGTTATGTCCAGAACTTCTGCACACAGACACACTTGCCTCAGGTATAACCATCATCACTTCCAATTGACAGTTTAGATTATATCCTACTTACAGTGTAAAAATATTAATGTTATTAGAATAACTTTATCTAAATTACAATATAGACTTCTCAAACTGCTTATAAGGTCTTTTTATAAAGACCTTTATGATGTCAGCCAAAATCAAAGTATTTACACCCAAAAGACTACTTTCAGGTGGACTCCTGTTTGGTCACTTTTAAGATGACTGAACACTGTAGTAAACAGCTGCTAGGACCCCGTGCTCCCTTTTTCCAAAGGAGAACTTGTTAGTTCCTTTAAAGCCACAAGAAACCTTACAGATCTTCCTCAGAGGGCAGTTTATTCATATTCTGTGCAAAAAGTGAACTGAACAATCCTTTTTTTTTTTTTTTTAAACTTTGAGGAATTTGTGTGAAGCACAAATCCCACAGCACAAATTATGCAGAAAGAACCAGTATCTCAACCATGAGTTAAGAAAGAATTACAGAACATGGATTTAGTAGTGAAGCAAACTGATGGCTTAAAGCTGCAATATTCTTCTCACAGGGTGAAAGTGTTCAGTACTGTGCTTGGCCTAGAGTGGAAACTGTCTTCCAGGGGAGTTTCCACCCAAGCCAAGTGGTACAATCTTCTTCCACTCATCAGCCAACAACAAACCTCCCCAGCGCCGCTGAGCACAGAAACCGATCCGATGAGCTGTCCCACATTTACTTACCTTGCAGTGAGAAAGGGAATTAGAGACAAACAAATCCCATAAAATTTAACCAAAGGAAGATGGAACGGCAGGGAAGGAGAAACACTGCAGCTTCAACCCAAACCCAGTGTGGCAATCTACCATCAGAAGCTCCAGGCATGGTGCTGGAGCCCCTAGCCATGCTGAGCGGGCTGGTGAAGTCTGTCACTTCCCCCCCTCACTTTGCTTTGCCTGGGGGGGCAGGGATGGTGGTGATGAGTTGAGCAGAGTCCATGGGGGAACATCCATCAATGAAAAGCATAGAGCAGCAGTAAGATGGTACAGATGCCAATAATGCCACCCAAGATGAGGGAATCTCGTCGTTTCCGCAGGTTGATGCGTTGGATCAGGCTGTTCACTGCTGGAAACCGATCTTGGGAGAGTCTGAGTTAAGGTGGCAGCAGCAAACAGCACCTTCACCAACCCCAGTTCTGTAGGTGGAAACCCCACTACTGCAAGAAATGCAGAACTACTCCCAAGCTGGAGAAAGCAGATGCAGAAAAAAAAAAAACCAAACCCTGATGGATAATTAGCAGGATTACAACTGTACTTCACTAATGACAATCAGAGACAAGAGAACAGAACAGCTTTGAGTTCACATTTACTGATAATTCATGACCTGATCACCTAAATTCCCAGCATCTGATACACTTTAATCTCCAGTACGTGAGGCTTAGTTACTTTTCATCATTGTGCTTAAATGAGAATGAAGGAAAAAAAATAAAGGGGGCAGTTACATAAAACATCTGCAGAATTTATTTAATGAAATTCTGTGACTGGTGAAGGGAACAACCAAAGGCCTTTGACTGAGAAAATCAAGCACGTTGCATGACTGTGGTCTGCTGAATTACAGCACACAAGGAAGATCTACTGCTACTATAAAATCATAAAGGTGTAAATTCATCTTTTAATGTACAAAATACAATTGCCAACAAGATAATCAGTTTCAGAGCTTTGTGTCTTTGGAACTAAGAATCTTTTAAGGTCAAAACTTATTTAATCTTTTAAGACTGAAGCTTATTTAATCTTTTTCTTTTTTTTTTTTGTTCTTGCCAGTTGCTAAGAACTGTAATGAAATTTATGGGTTTCCAAGATACATCTCTTAAGGATGGAATCTGTAATCCAATGATGCTAATGTTGTTCTTTGGGCCCTTATGACAGAAAGGAAGGAACAATGGGATAAACTACAAACAGTCTGGCACATCCCTCAGCCATGAGGAAAAACCAACAAATGTTCAGAGTGTCATAGCACCAGAATGGTTTGGGTTGGAAGGGATCTTTAAGATCATCTAGATCCAGCCCCTCTGCATGGGCAAGGACACTTCCCACTAGACCAGAGTGTTTAAAGCCCTGTCCCACCTGGTCTTGAACACCTTCAGGGATGGGGCAGCCACAACTTCTCTGGACAACCTGTTCAGTGTCTCACCACCCTCATAGGAAATAATTTCTGGAAGGTGCCATAAGGTCTCTCCAGACCCCCAACTCTCTCAGTCTGTCTGCACAGGAGTGATTCCAGCTCTTGGATGATCTTCGTGGCCCTTCTCTGGACTTGGTCCAAGAGTTCTATGTCCTATCTTAACACCTACAAGACTGACAGACAAGAGGACACTCTGATCATGAACACTCTTAGCTGTGAATTGTCATAGGCAGCAGTGTATGCCAAGCTGCAGCTCTGGACACTCTTGAAAGCAAAAGTAAAATAAAATCACACTTCTTTTACAAAAAACAGAGCAGGGAAGGCCATAAAATACTGTAGCAGATCTCCACCTGAAAATTAAGCTACCTTGATATATATGCAGTATTCAAATTTTAGTACAAACAACCTATTCACCACATAAAGATGCTGCAGTCAAATTATCAAGTGAGACTAGTTAAAAAATGGCCAGTTTGTCACTAATGACAATACAGGTCATACAGCCATGGACATTGCAAAGCATTTTGATCCCCAAATGACAGTGACAAATTGTACTGTACCTCTTCTGATGCACTGGCAGCACAAATTTTTAGGAAAGGATACTAGCCAAGGTATTCATCTTGCTTTGTATTGACTTCAACATCCCTCTCTGGGAAGTCATATTTTCTTTAGTTGCCATGGCAATGCTGGAGAAAGGAGAGAAAAAAAAGAGTGGATCAAGTTGTTGGTGCTAAGAATAATTTCCAGCTAAAACAAGGGGAAAACAAGCAGGCAACTCTTGGTTTGAGAACAATGAATGAGGTGAAGCAACATGAATGAAACCACATTTATTTTTTCCATCTGTATCTTTTACAATTAAATGACTTCTCTTTTCTCTGAGCCACCAGCCATTGAACACACTGTGATGTCTTCAAACAGGCAGGGTTTTGGCACATCTCCTCTAGCCCAAATAAATAAAGGTACTACATCACAAGCAGACCTAAAGATACTCTTCTGGCTTAAGTTTTACATTTAGAAAATGTGTTTAATCACAGAAGTTCAATGCACACACACAATTATATTGGTATATTTATTTATTAAACATAGAACTGGAGTTCCTGATGTTTTTATAACAAAGACATTTTATTTCAAGTTTCTCCCTGGACAAAACAAGGTAGGACTGGCTTCCCCACCAGGACACTACAGCCACTAGCACAAGGATAGCTGGTAAAAAGGTACCACAGATGCAAAACTTAAAGAAGGAACCAGCCCAGATCAATCATCCCTAAAGTATTTTTGGAGCAGTGAGTTCCTTTGGGCTCCCTTCCATTACATCTGCCTACTTCAGCTCCTTGATACAGAATCTTCAGTCTTCCTATGACATGTCAGGCAAACTTTAAGAGAAAAAAAAAAAAAAAGAAGAAAAAAAAAAAAAAAAGAAAAAAGAGGGGGGGCAGAAATAGAGAGGAAAAAAAAAGACAAGTAAAAAATCTACTGCCACCTCTTCAGGTGGAGGCTGCCTTTTCCAACTCTGGTTTTGCTCATAAAAACTAGAAACTCATGAGGCCAAAGCCCAAGTTTTAGGAGGGGTGTGACTGATTTTAGCAGTAGCAGAACACCCTGCAGAGCAAGACAAGTTCATCACACAGATATAAGTGAGACAGGGGTGATAAGGGCCACCCAACGGCTCTTGCAGCTTTTAGGTCACAGAAAAGACTCTTCCAAAAGCTTCATCCAGCAATTTCTTTTAAATAGAACAATGTGAATTGGCAGGGAAGATCAATCTGACTTTAAGGTTATATTAGCATTCTGTAAAACTGGACGTGCACTGGGTAACTGGGAGTTTATCAGCCATATAAAGGGAATATAAAGTTTGGTGACATGTAGGCAAACCCCTGACCTTTTCAGTCTGTAAGAACAGATTTAACCTTTAACTGAGAAGAACACTCAGGAAATTTTGAATTACTAGAACTAAATTGGAAAAAAACCCAACTTAAATATGTCCTAGCTGTACACTGGAAAGGTTGCTCAGTAACCTAAAGCTTCTTATCTTACATCCCCATGCTGGCTTAATATTTGTCCAGATGAAGTCTTAATACAACATTTCTCAAAACACTCCTGAATTAAGCCACATGTTTTCATAAGATGCATCCAATGGCTCATTAAGGCATCCACTAATTTACAAAAGTGAAAATACAAGATAACTGCCAGGATATACAGTGTTCCTGAGACACTTCCAAAATACCTTTGGAGATGGTTATTACAGATCATCATGGAACACAAGGTTCCTGGCTCTAACACCTGAGTGAAACTGTCCACTTAATATAAAAAAATCCCCATGTTTAAGTTTACAGATTCAAATATTGGAATCCTCTTCATTTCTTTTACCCACTATTTTGAAAAAGAATTAGCTCAATGGATTTTACTGAAAAGCTCTGAAGAAAAACAATGGTCATGATTACCATATTGAATATGATACAGTCCAGTAATGAAATGTAATTGTGATATCCATGAACAAGAGTTTAACTGGATTCTAGCTACCATTAACAAGTCATAAGGCAAGTAAAAAGTTCTTCATGTATAATTTGATCACTCAAAACATGAGCTGATTTATCTAAATGTAAATGAGACTATGAAATATAAGTCCTACCAGAGCACACACAGCTCCTGGGGACTAGTCTGATGATTGGTCTGAAAATCCCAGCCTCCTCACCTCCTTCATTAGACAGTTTTGGTTTCATTCCCATCCCCAACATATGCTCACTGACTTACTGTTGCCATTTCTCCACTGACAAAAGCATTTAAAAAAATACTAAGTTAATAATATTCTTCCCATTCACTATAGTGGCCCCATTTAGTTACTCAGCACCAAAACTTGCCCAGATCAAGGATACATTTTATCTTTTTTTACATTTCAAAACTTGTACACAACAATTAAGATACAAGATTAAATGCTTGTTTCTGGAATCAAGATGACCCTGATTTACTGTTTCATTTGGAAAGGAGCATGAACTATTCTCAGTGCTGCACTGGCTTGAACTACTAGAGTTGGGTGTCAACCAAGTTTCTAAAACCAGATGGCATTGTGGTCTGTGTAGTTAATAGTAAAGCACTGCTGAAGTACAAGGTTCCAGACTGCTGCACTAGGAGTTAAACCTCTTCTAGGTAATCCCAAGGTCACAGCCACAAAGAGCCCACCCATCTCTGCCACAAATCAGCAGGAGTATCTCAAATTCCTCTGCTTGCGGCCTTATTTCCTCAAAATTTCACTTCTATTTGAAGCTTGTCCTTGAAGGCTCAGTATGTCTGGGGGTATGCAAGCAACCACATTTCTCTTCAAAAGTAAAATAGCTGATATCTATACGTAGTTTGCAGTTGGACTAGATTATCTTAAAGGTCTTTTCCAACCAGAACAAGTCTGTGGTTTTCGCTGACATGAAAAAGTACAGAGTAACAAACACTTCCAGCCTTTATCACAGTCATACTGCCCCAAAACACAGAGATACTTTTAATGCTGCTTGGCTTGGAAACAAAGTGCTTTACTTAGACCAGTGGGTATTTTCACCCCACAAAGCAGCCATCCACATGCAGTGTAATATCAAGTGCAAAGTACCAAAAAGACAACTCACTGCTTCATCCATTGAGACAGCTCAGCCAAATAAGTTCAGCTCAGATTTAAAACAAAGCTCTAAAGGAACGAGACATGTTTGAAAAATCAAGAAATTCATGTATTACTGGAACTTCTGCTTCATTCTGTACTCCATGAATCATACTTGCTCATTTAAATTCATGACAACATCTATGATTAAAGGAATGGACTTTGTGACTCTGCATAGAAATGCAAGATCAAGTTAGAAATGGGTAAAAATTCGGATCATATTACTTGCATATACATATGTACATAGATATCTGTATCTATAAATACACACGTGTGTGTATGCACACACACACACACTTTCAGTCCACTTCATTGTGTCTTTTGATGAAGGCCAAGATGAAAAACAAAAGGAACATTTCCCCAGAAATGCAAGTGGTTTTGCCTGGACACTCTGCCAAGGTCCTTCTGAAAAGGAGCCAAGACTCAAAATCTAATCCATGCCTTCCATTGTGTAAAGTCAAGACTCAATGCAAGTGAATTTTCCCCTTTTATTTAATCCTGATTATTACCTAAATAAATGCCCCAAATATATAAGGAGACAGGTATTTTTAAATTAAAGGTATGGCTTTAGTCTGGCTTCAGAGTGGAACTGGAGTAGTCCAATCTGTTAATATACAAACACTGTCAAATCAGCCTATGAAACAATCTTACAATAAACCCCTAAGAACTTCTCACACTGTACATGCAAAGCTATAAAACAATTCAAACTGAGCCAACCTAAAAATACAAGTTGTTGGAAAACAAGAAATAAATGGTTTGCTATTTTGGAGAAGTGATAATGTTTGAAAATGAAAACTCGAGAACACCAAACATATTAAGCAAAATTTATGCTTGTATTTAAATCTGGCCAAGAGAAGCGAACACTGTTCCAACAGAACTGCAGTACAAAGTATCACATCCCACTCATTTCTGGAAAGAAATCTGCTGCAGTAAGAACCCATCTCACATAATTCATTTTAAAATTGATTTAAAAGTTTAGTACTAACAAAACATCTGGAATGGCAGCCCTGGGCCTCACTTCAGTTACTGCATCACAGAATAATTAAATGGTTTGGCTTGAGAGGGACCTTAAAGATCATTTAGTTCTAACCCCCCTGCATGGGCAGGGACACCTCCCACCAGCCCAGGTTGCTCCAAGCCCCATCCAACCTGCCCTTCAACACCTCTAGGGATGGGGCAGCCACAGCTTCCCTGGGCAGCCTGGGCCAGGGTCTCACCACCCTCACAGGGAAGAATTTCCTCCTAATGTCTAACCTAAATCTCCCCTTTTCCAGTTTTGATCCATTAACTCTTGTCCTCTCACTACAGGCCCTTGAAAAAAAACCCTCCCCAGCTTCCCTGTAGCCCCTTCAGGGGTCCTCATGCACGTGTGTCTGTTCCAGTGGAGAAACCACACACAGGAAGAGTCAAGCTCTGCACTTCTGTGGTCTCTGCTCTACAGCAAATTAGAGCAAGGGTTTCACAACTACTGCCAACTGCAGTGTCTCTGGCAATGGGGTCACTGGTGTGCAGCGTGACAACAAAAGCCTCTGCACGCACAGAAAAATGCTCCCAGTGTTTAGAATTGCTGTTTAATAACAATGCCTAAAAAAAATACAAAGTCATCTCTTGACTTCCTGAATTACACCCAAATAATGAGTAACGAGCTACAGCAGATGTGAACCTTGAAGACAGAGCAGTGTTAGCAGCCAGAAAAAGCTAATTACATCTCACTTCACTCAGGAATTTGCATTCAAACAGCTCCCCTTGCACAACTTCCTCTTTTACTTGGTTTACAACAGATAAAACAATAGAGAAATTTACCCAGTTTCTGATTATACCAAGTAAATTCACTTGAAATGCAGCAGGGTTCACCACCAATTAATATCAAACCTGAACACTTACAATTACAGTGAATAACAAGAGTATAACAAAAATAAATTCACCCTGCTTCCAACAGTGTCAGAATGGAATTAAGATGATATAAATGAAATCACATTTCCTACTCAACGTTACTGAAACAACCTCTTCTACACAAAGACAGGTAGAACATTTTTGGCAACAACTGCAAGTTAATTTACTACAGATAATAAATGGTGTGACAAGGAGTGCTGAAATCCAGCCTCTTAAAAATCAAAGCTCATTTATGATCAGAAGGAATGCTCCCAGCAGAGAGCACCAAGGAGCTGGGAGCCCGGGGGAGCAGGGATCGCTGCGGGACATGCGCTCACTGCGCAGACACTCGGTTTGTTGTCACCAACGGGACTGCAGCTCGTGCCAAAGAAACTCAAAGCAGTTTTAAACTCACCAGGACACCTCCTAATGGCACCATGGAGCTCCTCAGTAGAATCATAGGTTTGGGTTGGAAGGGACATTAAAGATCATTTAGATCCAACCCCCTGTATGGGCAGGGACACCTCCCACCAGCCCAGGCTGCTCCAAGCCCCATCCAACCTGCCCTTCAACACCTCTAGGAATGGGGCAGCCACAGCTTCCCTGGGCAGCCTGGGCCAGGCTCTCCCCACCCTCACAGGTAAGAATTTCTTCCTAATGTCTCATTAGTCTCCTCTCCTCCAGTTTTGATCCATTCCCCCTTGTCCTCTCACTACAAGCCCTTGTCAAAAGCCGCCCCCCCCCAGCTTTCCTGGAGCCCCTTCAGGCACTGGAAGGTGCTCTAAGGTCTCCCTGGAGCCTTCTCTTCTCCAGGCCGAACACCCCAGCTCTCCCAGACTGTCCTTACAGCAGAGCTGCTCCAGCCCTCCCAGCATTTCTGTAGCCTCCTCTGGGCTTGCTCCAAGAGTCCTACCCTGAGGTTTGGACAGCTTGAGCACATCACTACAGAGGAGAGAGCTCTGTAAGTCAACTAATTCATCTTCAGCTTGGCAAGTCTTGTCTCTGAGCTGAGCAGGGCTGGGAGTGTTGCCGTTTGCTCCCGGGGGCGGCAGCCGGAGGAGGCTGGTGGGGAACCTGGGTGAGTGTTGAGGTAGCTGCCCTGTTGTGAGCTCTCCCCTCCCATGGCTACATTCCCTTGCACAGGGTAAATCATCACATTGGGTCACTGATCACACCAACACAGACTCTCAGTTTCTCTGATCACACATAATCAAGAGGTGAGAGCACAAATGATAAAATACAAGTCATTTGGCAGGTCATTAAGCTTAATAATCACCATATGCTGTGAAATGCTCTAGTTACTGGAGTGGCAGCAAAAAGAGATTTAACAAACGTTGAGCATTTTTATGAGATGGAAAAGTAGGGCTACAAGCATGGGAATAAAGGAGAGGAGTTGTAATCAGGAAAGGACTGGAACCCAAAGGAAAACAAATATTCACAAGAATTGTGCTACATTTGCCAAATATCTTTACAAGGCTGTGGTGAGGTTATACCCATATTTTCAGACATTATTGTACCGACCACTTCTGGTTCATCACTTGCACAGGAATGTGGTTTAACACATTCTTCCACCATGTTAATTATACTGGGCCCACTGTATATACTTAAGCCAGCCAGCCCTTAATGGACTCAGAGCCCTGCTGTAACTCTAATTACTCTTCTGGATCACTTATGCCAGTACACGCATTATCTGAAAGCCTCTCTTGCTTGCTTTTTTTTTTTTATAAAAAAGCAATAATCTAAAATTTAAAAGCATTAAATTGGCCGCTCTGACTTATTGTTTGCAAAATCCCAGAGCCCAATAGAAGACTGGGAAGGGCACAAGATGATACAAGTAATTTATGATGCTACGGTTCTAAAATTCCTAGATTAGTTAGAGAAGGTATCATTCAAGTATTCAAACCACTTAAAAAACCCCAAGATAAATAACTGTACAACAGCAATAGCCTGTCATATCCTTGTGGAAAAAGCCCCTATCTGCACCAGCTGCACACTAGGGTGCTGTATATATTGAAAGATTACAGAAAATCATGCTGTGGAAGAGTGATACAGTGAGAAGAAACAGCTTGACTACTGGAATAAACCTCAACAGCTCAACATGAGATTCACTCTGCTCCACCATCCCCTTTGTTTTTGCAGGGCCTGTTCACCTTGGAACAGAAATCTGAATTTTTCAAGCTAGGATAAATTAAATCCTTACACAACACTATTATGTCAATATTGAATGGAAACAAAAAGCCAAAACCCACCACCACTTCACTGTGCTACTGCCTGTGAGTGGCAAACAATACAGCTATTGTGTGAGTAAAATGACTGATATCTTTGGACACAATTCAACATAAACACTGATTGTAGAGAAAATAATGAAAATTAGTAAATTAATCCCTACCTTATTGTTTCTTCTATCAGTCGATCTGAGCTGAAAGCCAAAAGAAAAAAAAATGAAGTTAAAAAAGTAACAAGCACTATGATTTTAGATTATTAATGATTGCCATCATATAAACCTTAATGAATCTGCCCTTAAAATGTCCTATTTCAGGGTGTTGCCAGTTTTGCTACTGCACAGACTTACTTGGAAGATTCAATGAAAGACTATGGAGAAGCTGCACATGGTGTCCTCCAGAGCAGCATCTTCCAACTGTTTGCCAGGGCAAATGCTCAGGAGAACACAAAGTACCAAGATGGCCCAGAAAGTGGAATGTGCTCCATGATCCATGGCTAATTAATGTGAACTGAGCCCAGTGTGTGTACCAGGTACCCAGTACAGTTTGGAAATGAGTATTAGAGAAGGACATGCCTAATTTTTTTACACTTTAATCCTGGCCATTCCTGCCCACCCCTCAGAAGAAGCAATTAAAAATAAAAGCTGAGGCTTAGTTCCAGGTAATAAAATCTCAAAACACTGTTTCAGGGCTAGTTTACCAAATGCTGCTTCATGGTGGTTAACGAGGCAAGCTCCTTCTACGGTAATACCAGTTGGATGAGAATAAAGTGATGCTTAAGGGAAATGGAATCCACACCATCTGTAGGAGAAAGACCTTGATACTATGTGTCCTTCCCCATCCCTGCCACCCATTAATGGAGTTTCTGTGTAGCATGGCCAGGAAACAGAGGATCTAAAGCACCACATCACAGAGGGAACATTCCATTTATTAAAACAGCATGCAAGATTCAGATGACAAACAAGAGCCTCAGAAGACTTGAGCAATTTCTCTTTTTCTGTGCTCAGCTTGTTACGGAGCTAGTTTTTAATCACTGTTTTACAGACAATTATAAAATCCCAGGAAAATGTTTTCCTGTTGCAGCAATCACTGTCTCAAATGTAACACTGACATGGAATAGCTGACTGCATCCCTGCTTCCCATCCTGCAGAAACAAGGAGGCATCCCTGCAGCTGCTCCCCTTACCCCCACATGCACACAAACTCTTGTAGAATAACTGAAAAAAAACAAAGTGAGTTTGCAGTTCAAAAAGGAAATCAATCTGACAGAAAGACACTGACAGGGCATGACTGTCTTCATCTTCCATCCTCCCTGTTCCAAGTGTTTTTGCCACCTCAGAGGGAAGGTACCAACAGCCTCCAGCACGGCACAGTTTGCTCTGACTCAGCCCAAGCTGCCCAATTTGGAACTTTTCCTCTACCCACAGGAATTCTGGAGATCCCCCCCAGCTGGGAGCCTGGGAAGAAGCACGCTGGGCAGTGTGCACACACGTGTGTAAACTGCATGGGGGGGTGGGGGGAGATGCTAACAGAATGTCCTTGTTTGTCTGTGAAGAGGAGTGAAAACACGAAGGTTGCTATTTCGGTCTAATCCATGGCTTGAAATATGAAGACAGCACAGAGAGCACTAAAAATATTTTCCCCACTTTTGAAGTTGAGAGGGATGCAACTGGGGCAGCAAACACTGAAAGCACTGGAATTGGAACATTTCTTTCTGCTCCCTAAACAAAGCCCCACTCCAAAGATTCACATCAGTTGCAAGTACTTTGGTTTAAACAAATAAAATAACTTTCATTCACTCTACAGTGTTTATTGCCAGTGGCACAGAGAAGGAAACCACCATGGCTGTGTATGGAATGATGGTAGCAGGCTCAGGTCTCACAGTATCTGATCATGTCCCCAGGGCAGGCAAAAAAGTGATGCATTAAAGATTTCTGTAATCACTCTCAAAGATGTAAAATCCAACTGCAAATGTGCCCTCAGGACGTATCATCTCTACCAGATAAGTGTATGAGGTGGGCAGTAGATAGCAAGAATAAACTGTAAAAACATCAGAAAATGGACTGAAAAGCAAGAATGGTGTCCAAGGATGCATAATTTTCAAAAAGATTTTGTTCTTTAAAAAAGTATTAATAACAAAAACATACTGGGATCCCAACTGGAAATCAGTTACACTTAAAAAAATTCTGTGGAATAAAACCTAGTAAAAAAACCCCTACCCTGAAAAAAATCATCCCCAGCATTACCAGCTCTTTGTTCATTTAACTGATGAAATTGCAGTATTTTCATGATGATGCACTGAAGATGACAGGGAAGTTGAACACTTTCAGACACCTTAAGTGAACTAGGATGTTCTCCAAGGTTTTCAGAGCACAAAAATTAAGCTTGCCAGTTTTCAGCAGACACATGAACTGCTTTTCATGTTAGAGAAAACTCCAGTTAGGCTGTTTTATTACTTAATCAGACATAAACACAGTATTTAAAAGCTTCAGATTCAATTATGATATACTGCATTATTTTTTATCTATGTATTCACACATATAAATATAAACCCTGGAAAAGTATCTGTCTGTAAAATGATGACAAGCAGAATAGAAATGTATAAACCCAGTAACAAACACTCCTCAATACCAAAAAGCAAGGACATCAGATGCAAATGCCAACACAAGGTATTTAACAGGCATCTAAATTCACAAGATCAATGTTCCTCAACGTACAGGGAGGTCACCCCAACTATTTAGAAGGATGAGATGCAGATGAATTTCCTTCAGCACTGATGTACAGGTACAGGCAGACCAAAGTAAATCTTTTAAATACACAGCTGGGAAGCACAGAGGTTTACTAATCACAACTTCCAGTATGTTCTTCCCACTCCAAGGATCATCATCCTTTAATAGCCCTGAAAGGATTTCCAGAAATGTCTCTACCCAGGAGCCTCCAGCAGGTGAACAGATCCAGCAGCAAATGGCAATGTCAGGCACTGAAATTTGGGTAAGGGCAGCATGACCAGGGACATTTTCTGGTACAAATCTGCCCATTAGAATTCCTCGGAGTTCTATTAAGTTTAGTACTTCTTGCAAAAGGTCCCAAGGGAAGTTTTGCAGATCTCTGACTATTAATAATCTGTGTTACACAAACAGAAGTTGTTCTCACAATTATGAATAATGTTTATTTCAACTGTTTAAAAGAATAAAAAAAACTTGCACATTTTAAATGCTACAAAAAGCTCTTACAAAGGAAATTTAAATCTATTGACTTTGCTCTCCTGCTTTCCAAACACTCAACACAAAACCAGTGGATTTACCATCCAAGCAAGCAAATAATGGTTATGAGCAACATTAATCTGATTTGCCATCTGTTTCTATAAGCTTTGCATTTTCACCTGTCGAGACAGACGGTGCTCTGACAAAGGCATTTAAAAATACTATCAGAAAGAGTGGAAGATGCTGAGGCAACCACCCCCTGTCATACATGGCAGGACTCCAGCAGTACCACTCATGCCTATGAAATAATCAGGCCTCTGTGCAACTGCTGCCTGCAGAAAAGACTGCACAGCTTGTCATTTATATATGCAGACAGGTAAATTAATCCAAAGGAAAAATTTAGTTTAAACCTGCCCCTAGCACAGAAAGGAAGCCTGGATGTCATGTCAAGCTCTTATAACTCAAGAAATTATCTTATTTTCTCTGTTGCTCTTTTTTTTTTTTTAAAAGTAAACCTCTATGCCAGTAGCTAAAATTCAGTAATACAGATGATGACTTAGGTGAGGAATTGGCTTCCTCCACATCCACAAATTTTGTGGCTGACTTACCAGCTAGAGACCCAACACCAGCACTTGCCAGAGACAAAAGATCAGAGCAGCAAGACTCTCCTGCACACAACTCATTTCACAAAACACTCGATCCTTGAGATAAAATAAAGGGCAATATTGTCAGGAAGAATAAGCTAAAAGGGTTAGGGAAAAACCCTCTATAATAAACTAATAGAGCCCTTGATTAATATTTTCTTTCTTAAAGAATAATTACAGAAATAATAATTTTACATTGTTCTTTCTCTTAACTGCAAGACTAATCAATGGTTTCAGCTCTTTCAAACTGCCTGCACTAAACCTTCTGTGTTTTCAACCCTGAGCTTCCAGGAATACAAGTATTGCAAAACATACTTAATATTCTAACACAAATATATAGATTATGCTGAAACAAATCAGACTTACAGTTATTTCCATCACAATAATCAGTCCTAACATGAGTGAAAGACACATTGTACACACAAACACCAAAAAACCCAGCTCCAATTCATTTTTTCTGCTTGCCATCAGGATAATCCACCTTTTAAAAGAACTATGAAGACCATGAAGCTCTGTACAAACTTCAGTAGAAAAACATAAAGCAGAACACTTTTTCCCCTGTGGTAACAAACAAGGTATTCCAGATTTTAGAAGACTCACCTCATGCTTGATTCAATTCAGTGTCAAAGAGTGAACTGCACTGGAGCTGCTTAGCTAGATTGGACAGTCTCCCAGAGTTGCTAATGAAGACAAGGACTGGTGTAGGTGACTGAGACCCAACATAAGAGAACAGTGAGAAAGTTTATAATAGAAAAATTATAATAGAGGACTGGGTAGACACTCAAAATTTGCTCCTGTGTTTTTACAGAAGAGCAGACTGCTGTACCATGACTGCACAGCATGCACCAGCACAGGGAGGGAAAGGAACATACCTGGCTGCAAAACATCAAGCTCACATTTCCAGCATGAGAAGAGCTGGCTGGCCAAAAACAGAGATGGGAGGTAAAACAGGCAGTACTTCATCAGGGATGAGCAATCTGCCCAAAGAAACTGTTCCAAAAGCAGAGAAAGGTTCAAAACCTGATGGAAAATGCTATTTAATGTGGGTTCCCTTTATACATTAATGAAAGTTTCTATCTGGATGCTGAGGAGATGCAGGGTTTTCACACTTTCTGTAGCAGGGCGCTACATGAAATGAGAGCCTATAACAATCAAACCCAAAAAACAGCACAAACATGAGCATTAAGTCAAGGGATGGATTTGCTCCAAAGGAAAAATACCTTAGTAACAACATCATACTTACAAACTCTAAACATGTAAGTAAAGCTTATTTCTGCAGAGCATTCTGCTGGGAGTCTGACACTCAAGTAGTCACTTCCAGCAAGAATGAGAAAGGGTTGTAAAATGGGAA